TCGTATTATTTTTTAATCAATTTGAAAGAACCCTGACATTTTCTGCCGTAGTATTTTAGAGTTAATTTGAAAGAATCCCATGGGTTTCTTTCGTAGTATTTTTGAAACAATTTGAAAGAAGCTCGAGAGTTACTACTGTGTTGTTTTTCAGGAGTTTGAAAGAATCTCGGGGGTTTCTATTGTATTATTTTTTTATCAGTTTGAAAGAATTCAGAGGGATCCTATTTTAGTATTTTGAATTAGTTTGAAAGAATCTCGGAGGCTCCTGTGGTAGTATTTTTAATTAGTTTGAAAGAATCGCGAAGCTTCCTGTCGTTGTATTTTTGAACAAATTTGAAAGAATCTCGAGAGTTACTATTGTGTTATTTTTCAGGAATTTGAAAGAATCTCGGGGGTTTCTATTGTATGATTTTTGAATCAGTTTGAAAAAATTCCGAGGGTTCCTGCCGTAGTATTTTCGAACAAATTTGAAAGAATTCTGAGGGTTGCTATCGTAGTATTTTTGGAATTAGTTTGAAAAAATCCCAATGGTCCCTGTCGTAGTATTTTTGAAAGAATTTGAAAGAATTTCGACAGTTACTATTGTGTTATTTTTCAGGAGTTTGAAAGAATATCGGGGGTTTCTATTGTATTATTTTTGAATCAGTTTGAAAGAATCCTGAGGGTTCCTGTCGTAGGTTCCTATCGTATAATTTTTTAATTAGTTTGAAAGAATTTTGAGGGTTCCTGTTGCAATATTTTGAATTAGTTTGAAAGAATTTCTGAATTTTATATCGTAGTATTTGAATCATTTTGAAAGAATCTCGAGAGTTACTACTATGTTATTTTTCAGGAGTTTGAAAGAATCTCGAGGCTTTCCACTGTATTATTTTTCAATCTGTTTGATAGAATCCTGAGGCTTTCTGTCGTAGATTCCGATCGTATAATTTTTGAATCAGTTTAAACGAATTCTGAGGGTTCTTGTCTTAGTATTTTGAATTAGTTTGAAAGAATCTCGGAGGTTTATATCGTAGTATTTTTGAATCAGTTTGAAAGAATCCCGAGGGTTTCTGTCATAGTATTTGCACAAGTTTGAGAGAATCCGGAGGATTCCTGTGGTAGTATTTTAGAATTAGTTTGAAGGAATCCCGGGCGTTCCTGTCGCAGTATTTTGAATCAGTTTGAAAGAATCTCGGGGGTTCCTGAAGTAGTATTTTTAAGTTACTTTGAAAGAATCTCAATTATTTCTCTCAATAAAATTATTTTTTAATCAGTTTGAAAAATCTTGAGGGTTCCTGTCGTAGTACTTTTGAACAAGTTTGAAAGAATCGCGAGGATTCGTGTCGTAGTATTTAAGAATTAGTTTGAAAGAATCTCGAGAGTTACTACTGTGTTATTTTTCAGGAGTTTGAAAGAATCTCGGGGCTTTCTATTGTATTAATTTTTAATCAGTTTGATAGAATCCTAAGGGTTTCTGTCGTATGTTCCTATCGTATAATTTTTTAATCAGTTTAAAAGAATTCTTACGGTTCTCGTCTTACTATTTTGAATTAGTTTGAAACAATCTCAGAGGTTCCTATCGTAGTATTTTTAATTAGTTTGATAGAAACTCGGGGGTTCTTATCCTATTGTTTTTGAATCAGTTTGAAAGAATCCTGAGGGTTCCTGTCGTGGGTACCCATCGTATTATTCTTGAATCAGTTTGAAAGAGTTCTGAGGGTTCCTGACTTAGTATTTTGAATTAGTTTCAAAGAATCTCGGAGGTTTATATCGTAGTATTTTTGAATCAGTTTGAAAGAATTCCAAGGGTTTCTGTCATAGTATTTGAACAAGTTTGAGAAAATCCAGAGGGCTCCTGTCGTAGTATTTTAGAATTAGTTTGAAGGAATCCCGGGAGTTCCTGTCGCAGTATTTTGAATCAGTTTGAAAGAATCTCGGGGGTTCCTGACGTAGTGTTTTTGAGTTACTTTGAAAGAATCGCAGGGGTTCCCACAAAATTATTTTTTAATCAGTTTGAAAAATCTTGAGGGTTCCTGTCGTAGTATTTTTGAACAAGTTTGAAAGAATCCCGAGGGTTCCTATCGTAGTATTTAAGAATTAGTTTGAAAGAATCTCGAGAGTTACTACTGTGTTATTTTTAGGAGTTTGAAAGAATCTCGGGGCTTTCTATTGTATTAATTTTTAATCAGTTTGATAGAATCCTGAGGGTTTCTGTCGTAGGTTCCTATGGTATAATTTTTTAATCAGTTTAAAAGAATTCTTACGGTTCTCGTCTTACTATTTTGAATTAGTTTGAAACAATCTCAGAGGTTCCTATCGTAGTATTTTTAATTAGTTTGATAGAAACTCGGGGGTTCTTATCCTATTGTTTTTGAATCAGTTTGAAAGAATCCTGAGGGTTCCTGTCGTGGGTACCCATCGTATTATTCTTGAATCAGTTTGAAAGAGTTCTGAGGGTTCCTGACTTAGTATTTTGAATTAGTTTCAAAGAATCTCGGAGGTTTATATCGTAGTATTTTTGAATCAGTTTGAAAGAATTCCAAGGGTTTCTGTCATAGTATTTGAACAAGTTTGAGAAAATCCAGAGGGCTCCTGTCGTAGTATTTTAGAATTAGTTTGAAGGAATCCCGGGAGTTCCTGTCGCAGTATTTTGAATCAGTTTGAAAGAATCTCGGGGGTTCCTGACGTAGTGTTTTTGAGTTACTTTGAAAGAATCGCAGGGGTTCCCACAAAATTATTTTTTAATCAGTTTGAAAAATCTTGAGGGTTCCTGTCGTAGTATTTTTGAACAAGTTTGAAAGAATCCCGAGGGTTCCTATCGTAGTATTTAAGAATTAGTTTGAAAGAATCTCGAGAGTTACTACTGTGTTATTTTTAGGAGTTTGAAAGAATCTCGGGGCTTTCTATTGTATTAATTTTTAATCAGTTTGATAGAATCCTGAGGGTTTCTGTCGTAGGTTCCTATGGTATAATTTTTTACACAGTTTAAAAGAATTCTTAAGGTTCTCGTCTTAGTCTCTTGAATTAGTTTGAAAGAATCTCGGAGGTTCCTATCGTAGTATTTTTAATTAGTTTGAAAGAATTCTGAGGGTTCCTGTCGTAGAATTTTGAATCAGTTTGAAAGAATCCTGAGGGTTCCTGTCTTAGTATTTTTGAACCAGGTTGAAAGAATCCCGAGGGTTTTTGTTGTATTATTTTAGAATTAGTTTGAAAGAATTCTGAGGATTCCTGGCGTAGTAGTTTGAATTGGTGTGAAGGAATCTCGGAAATTCTTATCGTAGTATTTTTGAATCAGTTTTAAAAAATCCTGAGAGTTCCTGTTGTAGTATTTTACAAGTAGTTTGAAAGAATCCCTAGGGTTCCTGTCGTAGTATTTTTGTACAAGTTTGAAAGAATCACGAAGATTCGTTTCATAGTATTTTGAAGTAATTTGAAAGAATCTCGAGGATTCCTGTCGTAGTATTTTTGAATCAGTTTGAAAGAATCTCGGAGGTTCCTATCGTAGTATTTTTGAATTAGTTTGAAAGAATCTCGAGGGTTCCTGTCGTAGTATTTTAAATTATTTTGAAAGAATCACGGGGGTTCTTATCGTAGTATTTTTGAATTAATTTGAAAGAATCTCGAGGGTTCTTGTGGTAGTATTTTGAGACAGTTTGAAAGAATCTCGAGGGTTCCTGTTGTGTTAATCTTCAAAGGGTTTGAAAGAATCATGGGGTACTGTTGTAGTATTTTTGAATTAGTTTGAAAAAATCTCGGGTGTTTCTATCGTATTATTTTTTAATCAGTTTGAAAGAATCCCGTGGGTTCCTGTCGTAGTATTTTTGAATAAGTTTGAAAGAATCGCGAGGGTTCCTGTTGTAGTATTTTAGAATTAGTTTGAAAGAATTCCGAGGGTTCTTGTCCTAGTGTTTTTGAACAAGATTGAAAGAATAGCGAGGATTCTTGTCGTAGTATTCTGAAGTAGTTTGAAAGAATCTCGGGGGCTCCTATTGTAATACATTTGAATTAGTCTGAAAGAATCCCGGATATTTATTTCTGTCGTAGTATTTTTGAAACAGATTGAAAAATCTCGGGAGTTCCTATTGCGTTATTTTTTAAAAGTTTGAAAGAATCTCTGGAACCTATTGGATTTTATTTTTGAAATATTTTGAAGGATTTCGCGGATTCTCTCTGTTTTATTTTAGAAGTATAGTTTAAAAAAATCTCAAGTATTTCTTTTGTTTGAAAGAGCTAGAACATTCTCCTGGAAGCCAAGTGTCTTTTTTAATGTTTTTGAAAGGGCAAAAAAGGGTAGAATCAAGACAAAAAAAAAAAATAAAACAGCAACGGTGGTGGAAAATTTAAGAGAAATTATGGAAGAAATTTCGTTGATATCATTTCGAAGATTTAAGCAGCAATTCCCCACATTAATTCTAAAGCTTAGCCAACAATTAAATACATCGTGTAGAATGGACACAATTAATTTTAAAAAAGGTCTTGAAAATGTTTTTCTATAAATTTCAGCTATATCTTCAAATTCTATTTTGTTTACATTTTTTTTATTGAATACAAGTTTCGTTTATTGTTAGTTTTCTTTCATCCCTTATAGGTCCAAAAAATTATTGGCTTATTTATTTTTCGTTTAATCAAGCAAGCACAACAATATTCCACACACGTCGACTTGGACTCCAACCCGACAACCAATCCGCTTGTTATTGTCTCCTTTACGCCGCCATTCCCATTCCAACAAAGAAAAAACCCCACAATATTTAATTATAACCACCTGTCAACAAGCAATAAATGCGCCAATTCCATAAAATTACACCTCTCGCTCTAATTTTAAGCAAACGTGTTCGTGTCAAATCGCATTTTCTCACAACCGAAAATAAAAGTAAAGGTGTAGCGTGACAGCCGCCCAGATAACACACTCTTTAAGAACAATAAAATTAAAGCACGGAGCAAGAACGAAATCCGACAATTTTCACACGACCCAATTACGCCTTCATCGTAATTAAAAATAATTGAAAAAAACAGTCCCTCACCTGCCCTATCGAACTGCTGATGTCCGAGTGGGGTAACGAGTTGTTGTTGGTCTCTCCGGGGGCGGGGGGTAAGGAACCGTGCAGCGAGTGGTGTTTGAGCACCGACGACGCCGTGCTGTTGTCGTCGTCCTCTTCGTCTTCGGAAGCCGAGCCCATCAACGAGTCTACAACGAACAACAACAACAACATTGATAATGATAACTATAAAAACACAAAAACGAATTAATTAATTAATAAAAATGACAGGCGTGAGTCCTGCTCTGTACGATTGCTACAATGCTACGTGGGGCGCCCTCCCCCTCGTTCCGTCGGTAAACATAAGTGATCTTGTTTACACGAAAACTTACACATGTTTGGCTAATTCCTTCCTGAAACACTCGACTCGAGTGGAGTGTTGTTGTTGTCGAACTAGAACGCTCCGAAGGGTGTAAGTTATATGTGTGAAGGGGCGGCGGTAGGGTCTTTGATCAATAATCAACATTAAGTGGCTGTGTGCGACCGCAGAGGGAGCAAACGTGAAGTGGAAATCGATTGGAGGAGGAAATGTTTTGTCGATGAAATTAATTAAGTGGGTCGGATGGATCTGGGAAGGCGTGGGGAAGGAGTTGGTGGTGCGATTGCGAAGAGAAGGGTTGTTGTTGAATGTTGGGAAAAGTGAGGCGAGTGGCGTATTTTTTGAAACGGGATTTAAGTTAAGTCGAATCCAATTATGGCGGAAAAGAGCGGGATGGGGACTGGAGAGGATTTCCGGAAGGGCGAAGAGCTAACACAAAGAGGGATGATCGGGATATTATATCAGGAGATCTGGTTAACTTATAACGAGCGAATATAAACACTAATAGTAATAATAGTACCATCAAACGTACTCTTTGTAAACCATATTTTAGCTTTAAAGATTTATTTTTGATCATCTAGTAGACTTCCCATAAATTATTATTTCGATTTATTCTAACCTATATACTTTTGATAATGGTACTGCTACAGTTATAGCAAAGTACCATCGTTTTACAGTGAAAATTTCTCGAATCATTTAATTTGATTTTCTTCCCGGTCATAATAAATCTCTTATTCATTTTTCAGATTTTTTTGATAATAGTACTTTTTCAAGTATGATACAGTATTTTTGTTCCTACATTTTTTAGATTTATTTGCATCTCAGGTCGAAAAGAATATTCAAATATGTATTTTTTCTTTATAATATATTACTGATAGTGGTACTGTACATATTTTACAATTTACGACAGTTTTGATAATGGTACTTTTGCAAGTACAACAGTAATATTGTCGTTGTATTCTCAAGAATTCTTAAATTTTTTACGATTTATTTTCGAGCTGAATTTGGTAGATTACTGGCAACTTTTTTCGTTGTAAGATGTTTTTTGATAATGGTACTGACATAGATCTGCTGAAGTACCGACGATCTATGCTCAAGAATTCAAACAACTTAGTCTCATTTGTGTGTTTTTTAATATAATGGACATTTAGGGAATTGCGTAATTTTTTGTGTTAAGATTTGTTGATAGTGGTACCGTTATAAATATAGAATATATATATATATTCATCGGCGTTCTATTTGTGAGAACTGTCCCATCATTTACCCTTACTTTTAATTTATATTTAGCACAACTTGTAGACGATATTTTAGACTTTGAGACATATTTGATAAGTAGTACCTTCGCAATTAGAGATGACATCGCTGTTCTCTTTTCGAGAATTCTCAAGTTATTCTGATTTACGTTTTACCCAATCTGGTAAATTTCTCGCAAACTAATTTTTTTTAAATTGTAAAATATTTTTGATGAGAGTACTTTTGCAAGTACAACAATAATATTGTCTTTGTATTCTCAAGAATTCTTAAATTTTTTACCAATCATTTTCGAGCTGAATTTGGTAGATTACTGGCAACATTTTTCGTTGTAAGATGTTTTTTCTGGTGAAGTACCGACGATCTATACTCAAGAATTCAAACCTCTTAGTCTCATTTGTGTGTTTTTTAATATAATGCACATTTGGAAAATTGCGTAATTTTTTGTTTTAAGATTTGTTGATAGTGGTACCGTTATAAATATAGAATATATATATTCATCGGCGTTCTATTTGTGAGAACTGTCCCATCATTTACCCTTACTTTTAATTTATATTTAGCACACCTTGTAGACGATATTTTAGACTTTGAGACATATTTGATAAGTAGTACCTTCGCAAATAGAGATGGCATCGCTGTTCTTTTTCCGAGAATTCTCAAGTTATTCTGATTTACGTTTTATCCAATCTGGTAAATTTCTCACAAACTAATTCTTTATAAATTGTAAGATATTTTTGATAAGAGTACTTTTACAAGTACAACAATAATATTGTCGTTGTATTCTCAAGAATTCTTAAATTTTTTACGAATTATTTTCGAGCTGAATTGGTAGCTTACTGGCAACGTTCTTCGTTGTGTGATATTTTTGATAATGGTACTGACGCAGTTCTGGTAAATTATCGGCGATCTATAATCAAGAATTCACACCACTTAGCCTCATTTGTGTTTTTGTAAATGTAATGAACAGTTGGGAAACTACGTAATTTTCTTGTTTTAAGATTTTTTGATAGTAGTACCGTGATACATTTAGAATATATTTGTACACTGTCGTTCTATTTCCAAGAATAATCCCATAATTTACTATAGTTTCAGTTTAAATTTAACAAATATCTGCAAACCATATTTTAGATTTTAAGACATATTTGATATGTAGTACCCTCGCAGTCAACGAGAGTATCATTTCTTTCTTTTAGAGAATTGTCAATTTGTTCTATTTTACGATTTTCCCAAACTGGTAAATTTCCCGCAAACTCCTTTTTTTTCATGTTTATATAGTTTTGATAATGGTACTATTGTAGTTATAGCAATAATAGTTATCGTTGTTCTGTATTCAAAGACGTTCGTCATTTAGCCACATTTTTTATTCAATTATAAATACTCTCCTTGAAAATCTTTCTTTAAATTCAAAGATATTTTTGATAGCAGTACCTTTGTAAGTACAGCAATAAAGTTGTCGTTTTATTTTCAAGAAGTCTTAAATTATTTCATTTCGAGCTGAATTTAGTAGATTATTGGCAATTTTCTTCGTTGTAAGATATTTTTCATAATGGTACTGATGCAGTTCTGGTAAAGTACCGTCGATCTATAATGAAGAACTCAAACCACTTAGCATCATTTGTGTGTTTGTAAATGTAATGAACATTTGGGAAACTACGTAATTGTCTAGTTTTAAGATTTTTTGATAGTAGTACCGTTATACATTTAGAATATATTTGTACACTGTCGTTCTATTTCCAAGAATAATCCCAAAATTTACTATAGTTTTAGTTTAAATTTAACAAATCTCTGCAAACCGTATTTTAGATTTTAAGACATATTTGATAAGTAGTACCTTCGCAGTCAGCGAGAGTATCATTTCTTTCTTTTCGAGAATTGCCAATTTGTTCTGCTTTACGATTTTCCCAAACTGGTAAATTTCCCGCAAACTCATTTTTTGTCATGTTTAAATAGTTTTGATAATGGTACTTTTGTAGTTACAGCAATAATAGTAATCGTTGTTCTTTATTCAACGACGTTCAAGTCTATTAGCCACATTTTTTAATCAATTCTAATACTCTTCTTGAAAATCTTTCTTTAAATTCTAAGACATTTGTGATAGGAGTACCTTTGTAAGTACAGCAATAAAGTTGTCGTTGTATTTTCAAGAAATCTTAATTATTTTATTTCGAGCTGAATTTAATAGATTACTGGCAATTTTTTTCGTTGTAAGATATTTTTCATAATGGTACTGATGCAGTTCTGGTAAAGTACCGTCGATCTATAACGAAGAACTCAAACCATTTAGCCTCATTTGCGTGTTTGTAAATGTAATGAATATTTGGGAATCTACGTAATTTTCTTGTTTTAAGATTTTTTGATAATAGTACCGTTATACATTTAGAATATATTTGTATGTACACTGTCGTTCTATTTCCAAGAATAATCCCATTATTTACTATAGTTTTGGTTTAAATTTAACAAATCTCTGCAAACCGTATTTTAGAATTTAAAACATATTTGATAAGTAGTACCTTCGCAATCAGCGATAATATCGCTGTTCTTTTTTCGATAATTCTCAAGTTATTCTGATTTATGTTTTACGTAATCTGGTAAACACCTTTTTTTTTATTTTAAGATAGTTTTGATAATGGTACTATTGCAGTTGTAGCAATGATATCGTTGTTCTATATTCAACAATCCTCAAGTCATTTATCTTCACGTTTGAAATAATTCTAATACTGTTCTTCCAAACCATTATTTTTCATTATCTGAGATATTTTTGATAAGAGTACTTTTGCAAGTACAATAATAACATTGTCATTGTATTCTCAAGAATTCTTAAATTTTTTCAAATCATTTTCGAGCTGAATTCAATAGATTACTGGCAACTTTCTTCGCTGTAAGATATTTTTGATAATGGTACTGATGCAGTTCAGATAAAGTACCGCCCATCTAAAGTCAAGAACTCAAACCACTTAGCCTTATCGGTGTATTTTTTAAATAATGGACATTTGGGAAACTACGTAATTTTTTGTTTTAACATTTTTTGATAGTAGTACCGTTATACATTTAGAATATATTTATCCATTGTCGTTCTATTTTCCAAAATAATCCCATCATTTACTATATTTTTAGTTTAAATGTAGCAAACCCCTGCAAACCATATTTAAGGTTTTGATTGAGACTTATTTGATAAGTAGTACCTTCCCAATCAGCGATAATATCTCTGTTCTCTTGTCGAGAATTCTCAAGTTATTCTGAATTATGTTTTACCCAGTTTGGTGAAAATCTCATTTTTTTAAATTGTAAAATCGTTTTGATAATGGTACTATTGCAGCCGTACCAATGACATTTTTGTTTTACATTCAAAAACTCTCAAGTCATTTAGCATAATTTTTTATACTAAAATTCTTCTTGCAAAACCATTGTTCATATTCTAAGATATTTTTGATAAGAGTACTTTTGCAAGTACAACAATAGCATTATCGCTGTATTTTCAAGAATGGTTAAATTATTTTGAATCATTTTCTAGCTAAATTAAGCAGATTACAGGCAAGTTTTTCGTCGTAAGTTATTATTGATAATGGTACTGTTGCCAAT